AATTTGCCGGAGTAGCTGTAGCAGGTTCTTGCACTTGGGAGAGGCCATGTTTTCCATGCGGGGAAAGGCGCATAACTGTTGCGGTCTGTGTACCAATGGCAGGAGTAGGGGGCGTTGGGAGACCATCGTCCGGGGGAACGAAGTTCCTCGCGTTCTTGTCTTCGTCTTGGCCTTTCTAACATGTGCGGCCGTTGTGATCCGCTGTGATAGCGGCGGTTTTTTGTGGTGGTAGGGTTTTTCTTGAGGGGTTTTGCCCGGACGCCGGGTTCCCCCTCCATATATTACCATGTTGGTATTTTCTGATTATCCAGGGGCGTTCTTGCCCAATTGATGGTTAGTCACTTGCGTGAAGAACCAGGGAGGGTGTTCGTGAGTCTGCGAACATTGCTGTTGGATACATGTGCTGGATGATTTTGTGTCACGCAGACTGGTAAGATAACCGTTTGATAGGGGGCACCGCGATGATTCACGGGGCCCCTCCTTGCTGTGGGAGCCGCTCTTTGAGCACTCCCTTTTTCGTCCGTGTGAAGGACGGTCGTCTACCTCTCGTGAAGATAATACATCACCAAAACAGTCTCACCCGATAAAAATGTGGCGTAGGCCGCAAACATGGCCTTCCCTCGCTGAGGGTAGGCCTAGGCCCGCCAGTGGCCTTCGGCCACGAAAAGAACTACACGGAGAAAAGAGCTCAAGCCTCGTACGTGGTGCTGAGTTTGGTAGATAGGAGTTACCGCCGTTGCGAGGTCGGGGTATCTCCCGTCGGACCGACTTGTGCAGCAGCATGGGGTTGAACCCTAATGCCCCCATTTGGACACCGGGTGTGGGCAGCAGCGGAGACCGCAGTTAGGGTAGCTCGGATGGGAATAGAGCGGCTGCACCGAGTGGGTATGCATGGGAGAATCAACGAAGGAGTGGAGCCGGGCAGAGCAGCAGGGTTGCACCTGCCTGCGAAAAATCACACCTTAGCCAGACAACCGAAACGGCGATTTGGCGAAAACAGGAAAAAAGGAGTAAAGAAAGGAGGAGACTGGGCCGGTCTGATCCTTGGCTTGCCAGGAGAGAAGCATATGAGGGTGAGACAGCGGACTAAACTTGTCCGGACTCTGGCTGCAAAGGGAGCCAACGGGTTACGGCCGAGACTCCGGAGTGTGCCGAACGAGGCGATGCAACTCGGCATCGCTGAGGTGGGAATGCAGGAGGCGGGAAGGGCTACAGTAGGCGATTGGAGTTTGTAGCAGCAGGGTTCAGGGTGTTCTGCCACGGGAGCGAGTCAAGTGGGACACATGGGGTGGGGTAAACAGTGGAAGAGTCCATACGCTGCAACTCCACTTACTACACTGTCGAGTACGGCCGCCCCGGTGGTCTAGTGGTATCCTTGTAATCCGCTAGTCGCAGAGGTCGTGAGTTCGAATCTCCATGGGGTGAAAATTTTACGAAATGTGCGGGTGAAAGCGAAATATAGCTAAAAAGCTCTCGTAAGTACCAAACTTCGACGTTAGCACCGTTGACGAGGGAAAGGGACGGCTGGACCCTTCTCGCGATAAAAATAAAATTCAGCACGCACCGCAGGAGGAAGGTGGGGCATGAAAAGAACAAAAAGAAGAAAAAAGCCCTGGTGTTTACCCACTCCTGTGTGGCCCTGAATGGTTGTAGTTGTACGAAAAAATACACTGAAAAGTGTAGTACTCTACATGCGCTGAAAAGTGTAGTACACGTCTCACCACGAAAAATGGGCGGACTGTCGCCATAATAAATAGGACGAAAACACACACACACACACACACGGTACCAACGACGGCCCCATGACCATGCCGTTTGAGACACCGAGCGACAAGAAGAGCGGAGAGGTGATGTTGTAATTACGTAAATACCTACGCACCGACAGCGGTCAAAGTTCTGAGATGAGCTCCCAAGCCTGTACTTGGGGAGGAGACTAAAGGTGTAGCTGTACCCGAACAATAGTCCTTACTGAGACGATGTGCAAATGTTTTGTGTGACGTATATTTAGAAGGTACTGCGTATCACTCCTACACATCTTTTGTCGGAAGAACGGCGCTATCACGAGCTGAGCGTCGGCGGATGTCAGGCAACGGCCTAAACGCAGCAGCCAAGCTGTAACAGTGAGTCGGTGCATTTCCAATTTTTGCAATGTCTACAATTTGGCATGCGTTGAGTTGCTGTCTTCCACAATGAATGGCGAAACGAGCTCCCTCCTCATTCTTGGGAATTGGGCTTGCTTGGCCTAAACCCTGCTCCCGCGGAAATACTATAGTGGCTACCGACATCACATCCATGCTCTTGTCTACGAAGTAGGAAAGTAAAAAAGACGTTCAAGGCCGCTACTTTCCTCGAACAGCCTTCAACACGTTATTGTGTAAAAACGTCCGACCAACTGTCCACGCCAACACTCCGGCATAGAAAAACAACGCAGTTCCGTCAGTCGATGGGGGGGGGAACACGTAGAGCTCCCTCTTTTCGTAGTCATGGCAAAACGATGTACTCATTGAGGGTATGCGTCACCCTATTTTCACCAACCTGATACGCAAACAGATGTTTCCGGAGCCGAACGCACAGCTCGCTCCGAAAAGCAGATACATAGCGAAACACCGGCGTGATATTTGGTGCGATCATGCCCCACCTCGCAACAGGACAAAAACGACATTGATGAACCATCACTCGCGACACGCGAAAAAAGGAACGCCACAGCAACATGCCAAGCACATGGCGATCTCCCCTCTTTTTGTAGGCGCGGCAAAACGATGCACTCTCTGCGAGTTCTCATCACCCTGCATGGCATATGGTTGCCCAACGCCGGCTTCTACTCGACGAAAAAGCCCCGCCGCTGCGCTTAAACAAATAAACGGTGCAGTGAAGGTACAAATCAAAGGGCGGCGGGGGTTTACTGGCCTTCCTCCATCGCCCGCTTAAGAGCCGCAACGCTCTTAAATAGGAATGCCTTCCTGATGGGGTGCTCCTCCTCCAACAGTTGTTTTTCGAACGTCTCGTGGATCAGGAGGATATATCCCTTCTCAGGGCGATGGCAGCGGACTTGGCCTTGGCTTCAGCGGACTTGGCCATGGCTTCAACGGACTTGGCCTCGATTTCTTCATTCTTCCGCAGCCATTCGTACCCCTTCTGCCCGGTATATGGTGCCTGGTGAAGTAGCGGTATGATCTCGAACAGGAATGCTTGGATGACTCCCTGCACTCATTCCGCCACGTCTCGCGTCCGATCAGTTTCCTTCGTCTTCCTCTTCTTTTCTTCGCCCGGTTCATCTCGTAGAGCCTCTTGCCCTCGAGCTTGGCGGCTGCCCTGCGTTCAGCGCCGCCCGTGGCCCTCTTGTTCGCGCCGGTCCATTCGTCCTCCCGCTGGACATCGAAAGGGAGGAGTGCGTTGCACACCTGGTCTAGTTCGGGAGATTTCGCCACGGCCTCTCCATTGGTGTTCGTGCCGGTATTCCCTGTTTTGGCGAACGGGGGAAGGGGATGGAGCGGGGGAAACGTTGCCGTGCTCGATTGTGTTCAAAGTTAGTGCCGCATGTCCGCCACTGTAGTTGGCCAACGGTTTAATTTACTGGACGTAAATCTAAACAGCTGGACTCGGTGCGCAGACCTCTTCGCTCCGCGGCCGCCGGCATTGTCCTTCACCACGCCCTTGGGCGTCGTGCTCTCTATAGCCCAGAATTCTCGTCGTCCTCGGGATAATCGGACTTGGACACGCTGCCCGACGAGGAGAGATAATCGGCTCCCGCCCCAACTGTCGAGTCGCCGCGTTGGTGTTGTTCTCCTTGTCCTGGTCAAGGTCATCGTCACAATGTCCGTCGTCGCTCCAGTTCTTTACCACGTTTGGCCCACATTCATCACGTCTTTCAGTACTGCTCTTGCAACCGTAGCTGAAATAACAGCAGCATGACGAGTATACGTGGCGAGTTCGTGGTGGGTGGATATGTATGTCGACGTTCCCCTCGACCGACCACGAACCTGCCGACACTGACAGCTGGCGTTCAGCAAAGCTTGCGATCCCCTATGAAGGACTGCCTCACGCAAAGCAGTGCGGGCAAAGGTGCCCGCTGCGCTTTGACCGGCGTTCGTCGCATGTCGCTCCCAGCGGCCGCGATCTGCGAGTGGCCATGGCTCCCAGCAGCACCACTCTCACCCACCCCCATCCTGCAGTCGACGAGGCACTATCTGCTGCGACCCTTTGCGAGTAGCAGGCCTAGTGTTCGGTTCATGGTGTGGGTTTGCCACGGCTGCTTTTTCTGTGCTGGTGGTCAAGAGGCTGGTCGTGCTGGAGAGTACCCGCGTCGGCTTCCTTTTCCTTGTGTTCGCAAAAAACCAGGCGCCTTCACGATAAATATAGCGGGAACACCGTTTGCCTTTCCGTTCGCTGGAGCCAACTTTTTTTTTTTCTGTACAGTGGGGGCTACGGTTTAAGAAAGGGGTGTGCTGGACCAAGAAGACCTCTCTTAAACACGACCTTCTCTTAATCCGATTTAAGAGAGTTTTTCTCTTCAACAGCGATTCCGGTTTTAGAGAAAACCTATCTTAAACCGAGCATATGGCTTTTTTAAGGGTCTAACCTGATCGAAGTGATGAAAATATTTATTTACTTATTTATTCCACAATATAGGTTCGTGCGTGCGTTTAGGCCCTCACCCGGGGTGAGTCCTCCTTATGGTTGTGTACGAAGCACAACAGAACACAGCAGCAGTAGCAAAGAGTGTATGTAATTCCGTGGTTCCAAGGTGTACCGCTGTGTTTTCCGGCATGGGTGTTTCGTCGGCAACAGTGGGGGGCGGGGGCGGGGGGTACTCTAATGTTTTGCATGAGATAGCTAATAGACCATTGACCACGCGTCCTCCAAAGGATAGAGGATTGTTCCCACATGAGGAGCGATCACGGAAGTCCAATCGTCCCTTTGTACTTTTGCCGAAGGTGTCTCAAAAATGCTGTCCCTGCAGCATCAGAATACGCAGTCCATCTATCCTATCGATACGACTTTCCGCCTTGTTAACCCACTTCCTGCGCCTGCCCCAGTACAGCTACCGCCTTCTCCCGGCCATTCCATGCCTCAAACATCTCCCTGTTGATATTGATGTAACCCTCCTTCTGATTTTCCCAGCTCAGCCATGTACATGTACGTCCTTCCCTCTCATTCTTGCACAACGGACATTCCGCAACTACATGAAAATAACCCGGTCGTCGCACTCGGAGCCGCAATTATATATATCTCAGCATACTTGTCGTCCTCATTGTCTACCTTCCTAAATCTTCGTCTCTTTCTCGAAGGCCAATGTTCCCGGTCCTGATTTCGACTTTCAGCTTTGTCCTTTAACCTTTCCTTCTTTCAATATTCCGTACACATCTAATCTACACCTTCTTTACCCTTGGTTTCCTTTGGTAAGATTATTATGTTCCTGTCTCTCGAGCAACAAGCAAGCAGCGGGGGGGGCGCGGGCACCCGTGGGGGCTGTTTGTCTCGCTAGCTATGATCACATCTACAACAGTGGTGGGGGGCAGCTGGTGCGGCAGTGGGGGCTACGGCTTAACTGGGCTACAGGGTAGCAGGTTCGGTTTAAGAGAATCAGGGTTCGATTTAAGAGAGAGGTGTGTCTAGCTATTTTGACCTCTCTTAAACCGGCAATTCTCTCAGAGTGAGCTCTCTTAAGCCGTAGCCCCAACTGTGCAATAGACCAAGTTAGACATCATATTACCGACAAAGGCTATTCCAACTTTCGGAGATTCACCGAAAGCTCTGCGCGCAAGCGCTTAAATCGCGAATCGAAGCCCGTGTGTGTTCTGCTGATTTCAGCCTACACATCGCGCCACGCACGGCCTCGAGATTCGCCCTGCGCGCCGAGCTACGGCCGCTCGAAGCTCAAAGCTGGTGTTCTCGGTGACGTCACACCATTCATTTAGCCAGACAGGCACAACATCTCACTGTTAGGATTTTCCCATTTAGAGAAATTCACCTACAGCTCGGTGCACAGATGCGTTCACTACGAGTCGAAGCTACTGCGTGTTCTGCTAGATTCAGCCATCATAGCGCGCCACCTACGCCATCAAGATTCGCTATGCACGCTGCGAAATCGCTGCTCAAAGCTGGGTTGCGGGGAGTCGCCCGTCCAAATCGCAAGACACTCGCTTTCTGATCTTTGGAGGGGTTGCTGGAAACGTGGACAACTTTTTGTGCTCGCTCGCCCAGATACATGCGCGCTTTTTTCTTGCAGCATGTGGCTTGCCGGGGTATTTGGGTACAGGCGCGCCACCTGCGGCCTCGAGCTTCGACGTGGTGGCAGAGTTACGTCCGTCTGAAGCCGTCGACCGCTATTTCGGGTGACGTCATACGTACTTTCGCCAACATAATGGTTCCGGGTCATTGGTTGAGGGTCTGTTTTCCGCGCAATCGCGCGCGTTCAGTGCACAGGAACACTTTTGTAAAAAAAAATGGGTGTGTTGTCTTTTCTGTGCCGGTGCGATCACACCCGCTTTGGGCTACGGAGTACATCCCCATGCTGAGCTTTCGTGTGGGTGTGTTTGAGTCCGGTGCTGGATCTTCACGCATAGGATGCGGAGAATCATAAAAAACTTCAGTCGTGTGTCGAGTGCAGAGGGCACGTTTTATGAGAATTTGGTTCCGCGTCATGGCAAAGTGCCTGTTCGGAACGCGGCGTATCTATATGTAACGTTTCGTCTGTATGTGACACGCGAAATTTTTTACGGCGTGTCTACTTCGTTATGCGCATGGAGGACAACCGCCTCCCCAAGCGCATGCTACTGGGAGCGATGGCGGGGGGTACCGGATCCCGGGGCGGGAAGGAGAGCGACTGGGTGTATCGCCTAGGAGAGGACCTCGTGGCGTTTGGCATGAAAGAGGAGAAGGAGGGGGGGAGATGGAAAGAGAGCGCCAAGGACCAGGAGGCGTGGTACGACAAGATCGAGGACGGGGCGGCATGGTTCATGAGGAAATGGCACAGACAGGAGGCGGAAGCATCCGCGAAGCGCCAGCGCCAGCGCGCGGAGGAAGCAGAGACGGAGAG